TGAGGAGAGGAATCGAAGGCTCGAGACTATCCCACTTTTCATCTTTGATGAAAGGGTGCTTAACCGTGATTAGGTGTTTTGAATTGATTTGGAAAAGGCGCACTCAATATTGGTCGAGGTTTTTATTTGTGTTTGCGATGAATTGAACTATGAAAATAGTTTTGAATAGGAATGAGATTGAATGAGTTTGGTTTGGAAATGATTCGGACAAGTTGATCAATTTTTAATTAACAAAATTAATTGATTAATTAAGCAAATTAAGATAAATTAAGCAAATTAAGATTAATTAGCAAAATTATCTGATTAAGTCAAATAATCAAGTTAATTAAAATTAATTAACAAAATAAAATGATTAAACAAAAATATAATTAAAAAATGAGATAAATAACCAGACGAGTACAAAATGATCGAACCGAGTAAATAACAATGTGCTCAAAGGCAGTTTATGCATAATGAAAACACAAGTAATGTTATACACAAGATCATAACGCGGCAAAAATATCTTATCAATATATCGAAAATTCGGCAGCATAACAACATAAAATTGTCGAATCTGCGGATTAAAAATCCGATTTAAAATACAATGGAATCAAACAACAACAGTAGTATCATATTTACAACATTCATAATTTATTTACAGTGCTCACAACAAAACAATCCAGCACAGACCATGCAATCATATGCAACTGAAAATTGAAAACAATAACAAAAGTAGCTTATGTGATATCAAATGCAAAAGTAGATATGAAATCAAATGTTACCCAGTAAAAACAAAAACATTGTTTCTTGATTGTGTTATGTATTTCTCAAGGAATGCTTTTGCCAAGGCTTGATTCCCATTGTGACCTTTTTATATATCTTGGCTACACTGTCACTTCTATTGTAACTGTTTCAAGCAAACACATTCCAACAAAGTATTTGTTTATCAACTTTCACCTTAGCAACATTTCTATCAACAAAAATGTTACTGCAATTAACATCCCTATGAATAATGCAAGGCTCATTTGTATGAAACTAATTTATGCAAAGTCTGATTTAAACAATGCGAAGTAAAATGAACCGCGGTAGTAACACAATGCTTCAACACCAAAATTCAACACAAACATAACATAGCCGAATCGCAAATTATACACAACTAACAGCATAAAAAATACCTTACATTTTTTTTACAGCATCTATAAACCAAAAACTCAACACATACAGCATTTACAGACGCGATAAAACAGATTATATATAACAAACACAAAACACTGTTTAACAGAAAGAAAAATAGCTAACAAAAATCACATTATTTCAGCACCTAAAAAGCAAGCAGAACATAAACAATAATAACACAATGAAACTGAATCAATGCACAACAATGGCGGATTCAATCGAAAATCAAATTGAATGTTACCGAACGCAGCGTACGATTAAGAGGACATTGTCACTTGCACAATTAATTCTGGAATCGTCAAATCAAAGTGAATTGGAGGTGATGTCACTGTTGCTACACAACAACCACTTTTATCGCATTCTGAAGTGCAGTAGTGAGAAGAGAATCAACTTTCCTGCAGATTGGTGAGTTGTTACAGATGGAGGTTTTGGTTGGTGCGTAACAGTGAGTGATATAAGGTAATGTAATTTTGGATTTTTTCCAAATACACCTTTATTAATAAATGATTAAAGTATAAAAGTAACTTTATTTCTTTGATATAATTTTTTTTACATATAACTGGTTTAAAAATTTTAATAAAATTAATTTATTAGGTTTGTAAAAACATTGTCATAATTTAATCATATTAAACCAATAAAATTAATATAATTAAATTTATGTAATTAATTTAATGTTAAATAATGAATTAATTGACTAAATTAAAATATTTTAACAATTGATTAAACATTAATTTAATTTTTATTTAAAAATGATTGGTTTAATTTATGAATTGAAATAATAAAAAAAATCTAAATTAATTTATATATGAAAATAAATTACTATAATGATAAAATTGCATGGTTTTAGTATAAGGACATTTAAGTCTTTTCAAATATTAAACACACTTCTTTCTCTTCTATTTCTTTCTCTGTTCTCTTGTTCCAGACAACATGTTAAATCTATTCTATTTTTCATCTATTTATCTCTTCTCATACTCTTTCTCATCTATTTCTCTCTTTACATTTTCTTCTAATTGCCAAACACACCCCACTACAAGAAACATTGCATTTTTTCAAGTGATTTTCAGTCACTAACCCAAAAATCACTTTACTGATCAACTTTTGCGACGTGGGTAAAACACGTCGGAAATGCAATGGTGGGATATAGTTCTCACGTCGCAAATAACAAAATTAAGAGAAAAAGATCCCACGTGAAAACCAAGTCACTAATTAGTGACGTGATATTCACGTGGAAACCTACCTTTACCAATTTTGTCTGCACGCACATCTGACACCAATTGAATTTGTTTCCCATGTGACTCACACGTCACTAATTTGTAGCTTTGTTTTCACGTGGAAACCCACACACTCATTAAATTATTTCCCATATGATTCCCACGTCACTAATTAGTGACGTGATTTGCATGCCACAATGAAAATATTTTTTATATTAGTGGCATGGGATGCACTTCACTATGAAATTTAATAATAAAAATAAATAAATAATATTAACTGAAAACAACTATAAAATTAAAATAAATATTAAATATTAACTATAATATTTAAAAAATTAAAATAATTTTTAATTAAAATAATATACATTAAAAAAATGATAATATTTAGTCACATGAAATTCACGTCACAAATACAAATAATAATATTAAAAGTTGTCACGTAATATTCACGTACAAATATAAATAATAATAAAAAAAAGTTATTCGTCGTCGGTACTAAATGATGCATCTTCTTCTTCTTCATCATCTTCGACAGAATAATTCGATTTCGAGGCAAAAAAAAATCGCATTTGTGCCTCCATGTCTGATTGCCGCTTCCTCATTTCCTCTATTTCAACATTTTGTCTATTTCTCATATTCTCCATTTCGGCCTTTAGGGCCGCCTCACATGTCTCCGCCTCTCGTCTCGCCTCAGATAGAGCTAACTGTCTCACTGTTGCCAACATTTCGGGTGTCAATTCTGCCGGACAAGATACTCCTTCCCCATCATCGAGTCTTTGAAATAAAGTTCGGTCCCCTTTTCTATAATCGCCAGCCAAAGACCCCAGACTAAAAAAATATATATTGACTCCCTTCTCGCCTACTGTTAAATTCCAAATATAAAGATCAACGCGTGGATCAAGCGGTGCATCCCCAATCGGCGTATACTGAGGATTTTCAGTTAAAAATTGGGCAAGCAAGGTCTGGTACAACTCCTACACACACATTAAAAAAATTAAATTAAATATAATTTAAACAATTTAATTATATACAGTAATTATGAAATTAAAAGAATTCAACTATAATAAATAAGTTACCAAGGTTGATTTGGAACGACCGTCAACAAACTCACCCGATTTTTTGGTTTGGGTCTTCACAAATAGCTCATTAATTCATGGCTCCCTCCCCAAATCCTTTTTCTAATTAAAATAATGAAGTTTAATTAAATATATAATAATACAAAATAAAACTTAAAAAAATAGTTATAATTATCATTCGCCGACGATGTTCGCCGATACTGATACTTCCAACTGTACTAAGACAACCACCTGCTTCAGATGCCCTCATCTTTTTAGCATGTTCAGATCTTCTCTGAAAATCTTCTGTCTTCCACCACTCAATAAGTTCCCTAAATATTTTCTCGCCTATCCAGTTAGGACATGTTTGATCTCTGTCCCTACGTTGTCTAGCATTCCTGAGCATGTCAGATAATCTGCTAGATACCTTACTTCTGAATTTTTTTTTAATTTTGAACTCGTCAAATTTTTGCCAAGTACACCTTTCCTGCAAGTTATATGACAGTCAAATAAAATGTTAGATATATATAACAAAAAATAGTTATAAAATAACATAACTATAATAAAAATACAATTTACCTTGAATTTATCAAACCATATATCTTTCTCAGTATCTGGGAGCTCTCTGAAAGACTTAATGAGTTTTGTATACATCACTTGAATGACCCAGTTTACAGCTTTTGCAGCAGGCCGACACGAATCAAAACTAAACAACAATAATTTGAACGAGTATTAAACATAAAATGGCAATATATATATATAGCTAAATAAATATTATAAATTAAAAACATACCCAGATCCCTCAGGCCTAATCAGATGTCATCCTTCAACCACCAAAAGCTCCTCTGCAACAGGATTTGCCTGCTCCTCATGAACATCGTCATCCTCTTGAATAATGTGGTCATCCTGCTGCTGACGCGCAGGTATATGTGTGGGATGTGGAATGCGGGAGCCAGATCCCTCTGCCTGGTGCGTGGAGGGAGTCAGCTGAGGAAAACTAGATCCTGAAGGCTGCGGCGTGAAGGAATACTGCTGAGGAAAAATAGATCCCCCAGGCTGTGCGAAGTGAGTCTGCTGAGGAAAACTAGATCCCCCAGGCTGTTGTGTGAAGGAATAATGCTGAGGAAGAAAACTAGCTCCCCCAGGAAAACTAGATCCCCCAGACTGTTGTGTAAACGTAGATGGTACATGGGGAAAACTAGATCCCCCAGACTGTTGTGTAAACGTAGATGGATGCATGAAGGATCTCCCAAACATACTAATAAACGATGGATTCCCATATGGAACCGTTTGGGAGGAGGAGAGTAATGTCGTAAATGGTTGTGAAGTGTCTACGGATATTATATCTGCCTGAGTATGTGGGCGAGAAGCATACATGGGCGAGGGAGGTACCTCGCGTACTCTGGCTCTCGACGGGGCTGGGTCTCATTAGCCTTACCCTTGTCAGTTCGGGGTGGCATTGTATCTATTTTGAAAGAGTTATCAATAAATAAATAATACATAAATAAATCAAGACTATTATCAACACAATATACATACGTAAAAATCATTTGCATTCATATAAAACAAATAAAAACTATCTATTCAAACTCTTCATGCTCTTCGTCCATATATTTTCATCATCTGATCCAATAATGTCCTCAAATCCAAACTCTTCATGCTCTTTATCCACATTATTATCTACCAACAACACAGATGCATCAATTTGATGACCCTCGGCCAATGTATCACACAAATTTGTAATTTCTTCAACTTCAACCGCATCATTAATTTGAGAAATTTCATGTTCTTGGTAAGCAGCATCTTCCACTAGATCGTCAGTTTCAATATGACCCAATGGTTTTGTTTTGATTACAACACACCATCCATGTTTACGTGACTGAATTGAAGGGTACGGAACATAATAAACTTGTCTAACGATATGTGACATTATGAAAGGATCATACTCTTTGTACCTTCTGTCCATTCGAATATCAACAATGTTATATTTCTTATCTATTTTTGTGCCCCTGGCAGATGGATCATACCAATCACAATAAAACAAGACAACTCTATTTTCCGAGTCCAAGTAATTGTATGCCAACTCGTAAATATGCGTAACAACGCCATATAAGTCGTCTTCACCACCATCTGTAACTCCTTTAACAAATACACCACTATATATGGTTTTTTCCTTCTGTCCAAGCCTGGGTGTGAAATTTATAGTCGTTCACAAAGTATGTGTGCCATTCAATTGCTCTTTGAACAGGCCCTCTAGATAAGTTTCGCAAATGAAGTATTTCTTGAGTCGGTGCAACAATGCATGACAATTGATCCTTGATCCATGCTGGAAAAGATGCATGTATGTGACCAGTAGTTGCTTGTTCACCGGTGCTTTGAAAATAAGAGGCGTTAAGTTCCCTATAAAGAAACACATTATTAGTTAGAATGTAATAACTCAATTTGTAAATCCAGATAGGTAGTTACGTTAGGGGTATACTTACTCAAGATATGGCCTAACTTCAATACAGTTGATTAGAACATGAATGCGTGCAGATTGCAATTCTTTTTGGGTCAGCCAATGCACATTCTCCTTTCCAGAGGGGCGATCGGGAAGACCGAAGATTGACAAGGTAAACTGACTTCTTTTGTTAACATCAAATTCCTTCCTTATGATTCTTGGAGTTAACATCAAATGATTGAAATAATGACTGCAAAAATGTGATGTTTCCCGATGCAAATAATGTGCACATATTGATCCTTCAAATTTAGCTTTATTTTTCACTGATCGCTTTGAATCACCCATGAATCTTTGAAAGGGATACATCCACCTGTATTGAACGGGGCCTCCAAGATAGGCTTCATATGCAAGATGCACAAGTAGATGCTCCATAGAGTCGAAAAAACCAGGTGGAAAAACTCATTCCAACTTGCATAGAATAACTGGAACATTTTGGTCCAACTTAATGATGTTATCGACTCTTAATGTTGACGCACAAATATCTCTGAAAAATTGACTTATTTCAATTAGCGAATATAGCACATGGTTAGGTAGTGAACTAAATGCAATTGGAAGCAATCATTCTATGAAAACATGACAATCATGACTTTTCATTCCATGCAACTTCCCAGTTTTGGTGTCAGCACACCTTGCCAAATTTAATGCATAACCATCCGACATTCTCAATTCATTTAACCATCGACAAACCGCTTTAGCATCTTGGGAAGTTAGACTGTAACATGCCTTAGGTTTTAATAATTTTTCATTAGGTCGAGGCTTCAACTCCAACTCTTTTCTATCACACAAAATTTCCATGTCCCTTCTAGCCTTCTCATTATCCTTTGTTTTGCCTTGAACATCCATCACTGTGTTAAATATATTATCGAAGAAATTTTTTTCAATATGCATAACATCAAGATTATGTCGTAATAAATCATCTTTCCAATATGGGAGGTCCCAAAATATACTTCTTTTTGTCCAATTGTGTTTGACCCCATATCCTTCAATTCTGCATGCTTCACCATAATCTGTAAATTTTGGCAGTTCAGAAACTCGATTCCATATTTCCTCTGGTGACAATCGTGGAGGAGGAAAATCTCTTACTCGTACATCTTTTTTGAAATCAGTCTTGTTTCTTCTAAATACATGGTCTCGTGGTAGGAATCTGCGGTGACAGTCAAACCACGAACTTTTCCCTCCAAATTCCAAAGTAAAATCCTTTGTAAATTCCATGCAATGTGGACATACCATTTTTCCATGCATACCCCAATCAGATAACATTCCATAAGAAGGAAAGTCATTAATAGTCCACATCAAGGCAGCTCGCAAAGTAAAGTTTTATTTGCGAGATATATCATAGGTCCATTCTCCAATCCACAACCTTTTCAAATCATCTATTAAAGGTTGTAAATAAATGTCGATTCCGGATTTAGGACTTGACGGTCCTGGAATGAGGCAAGTCAAAAACATGTATGGTTTTGTCATGCACATCTCTGGAGGGAGGTTGTAAGGGGTTACGATAACTGGCCAACAGGAATATGCAATTGCAGATGCTTGAACTGGAGTAAAACCATCAGAGCATAGTCCGAGCCTGACATTTCTAGGTTCTGCAGCAAAATCAGAATGTACCCTATCAAAATGTTTCCATGCCTCACCATCAGATGGATGCCACATAATGCCTGAACATGTTTTGTTTGTATGATGCCATGTCATTTGACTTGCACTATGCATTGAAGCAAACAATCTTTTTAACCTTGGTATTATTGGCAAATAAAACATGGACTTCACTGCTACACGTTTTTGTTTATGGTTAATGACTTTACTACGAACTTGATATCTCGGACTCTTACAGAACTTACATCCCTCCAGCGCCTCATCATTAATACCAAACTCATTGTCATAAAACAACATACATCCATTTATGCAACAATCAATCTTTCGTACTTCTAAACCCAACTTCGGCACCAACCTCTTTGCATCATAATAACTTGTAGGCAAGTTGTCTTTCGTAGGAGTCGCATCCAACATCATTTTTGATCAGTATTCCAAACACCGATCAGGAACATTCCAATTTGATTTTGCGGCCAATAATCTTACACACATTGATAATTTTGAATCTTCCGACCCCTCAAACAACGGTGTATTCATTTCTTCCCCATCAAAATCCTGAGGTTCATCATATGTCACATTTACTCCAAATGCATTTCCAACCATTTCATCGATCAGATTAAATTGTTCATCAAATTCCATATGTGATCGACTGCTTGATGCGTGTGTATTAGTTGTCTCTGCATATACGTTACTCGGCAGTTGTTCTCCATTATATGTCCAAACCCAATAATTTTTAATGAAACCCTTCCTCTTCAAATGACGTTCTACTTCCTTTGGGTCACTAATTATAGGTCTACATTCACATTTAATACAAGGACATCTCACTCCTCCTTCACGTCGACAACATTCTTGTGCAAATGCCCACGTGATAAACCCCTTAACTCCTTCCTCAAAATTTGGTGTAAGTCCACGTCTTCCTGGTAACGTTCTACCGTACATCCAACTACGATAGTAACGAAAATATTTCATACTACACATTTGTACTATCATTATATATCATTTTAATAAAACATGTAATTTAAATCTATTTTTTCTATTTCGACACCAACCTAATAAAATATGCTCACTAAAATAATATAAATTATGTTTACTAAAATATACTACATATTCTCAAAATATAATATTCTAAAATATAATATATAATTTGTTTACTAATAATAACATATTTAAAATATAATATATATTCATTATTTTTAAAAATTTGTTTTTCTAAAATAATATATATTATGTTTACTAAAATATAATAACTATTCAATAATATAATATTCTATAATATATATAATTGGTTTACTAAAATAACACATTTAATAATATTCATTATTTTTCAATAAAAAAACTTTTTCAAAAAGTAATACATTTAAAAATAACACATTTTAAATATAATACATATTCTTTATGTTTTTTAAAAAATATATGTTAATTTTTTCTATTTACAATATTGTTTACTAAAAATATTTTTAAAAATTCTACTTTTTCTAACATAATAAATATTTTGTTTTTAAAAATTAAAAATACATAACATATTTAATTTGTTTCTAATATATTATTTTTGTTTCTAATAAATATTCTATTTTTCTAATTTGTTTTTAATAAATATTCTGTTTTTCTAATTAAAAATACATAACATATTATTTTTATTTTTTGCTTTCAACAACAACAACACAATAATATATATATATATATACTTACATCTAACAACAAAAAATCTAAAATTTTCTAATCAATATTCTAAAATAATATTTCATATATCACCAAAATCTCAAAGATAAACAAATTGAAATGCATAAATACCTCAATATAGAGCTAACTCTCAAATCTTCCCATGGAACTTCTTAATCAATCTTAGATCTGGAAAAAAATCAATAATTAATAATAAGAAAAACATAAAATAAACGGTAAGGTAAAACAGTCACAAAACCAACATACAAATGCTTCACCTTGAATTTTTTGCGAAATTTTCGTTAAAAATGGAGCTCTAAGGGAGGCAGAAGGAGAACAATGAAGGAAAAGGGAAGAAGGAAGAGGCAGAAGGAAAGAAGAGAAACGAGATGTGGCTGAAGAAATTCTGGGTAATTAAATATACAAGGACACTTGCGACGTGGTGGACATGTGAGAAGGTACCCATGTGAAAACCACGTCGGAACCAACTAGCCTTTTCAACATTTGCGACGTGAAATTCCCTTAGGAAATTTGCCACGTGCAGAACACATCGGAACATTCCCATATATTAAAATATAATCGTTGCTCCACTAAATGCCAACGCAACGGTAAGAAAGCATTGATGTGAGTGGGTTGCGACGTGGGAATCACTTCGCAAACTTGTCACATTCAATTCCAACAACCAATGTGTCTGAGAAGTTAATGAAAAAGCTGAGACATTTACTATTTTCAGTTTTGCGACGTGAAAGGCATGTGGGTATTTTGTGACATGCTACTCACGTGGCAAATAAAAGGACTTTTTGAATTTTGAGTTCCTTGTGTTTTACACGCCACAACTGAATTTGTGAAAAATTCAAACTTCTCTCTCTTAAAATTCCAAATTTTCGTTGCAGATTTTAGGTGTACATAATTTATTAATTAAATATTTTAGTGACGTGGGAATCACTTGGCAACAGATTTTTTTTCCCACGTGTTTACCACGTCACTAAATCACTAGGGAAAATCAATATTTTCTTGTAGTGCCCTAAGTGTCAGCGTCGTTTTGGATACTAATTGTTTGCCTACTTTTTGCTAACAACTTGATATATATAATTATTCCTTTAGTTCCTTTTTAAATGTTATTTTTTGATTTTTTACACATATCAAGAAAGCTAATCAATATTTTACTTTTCAAACAATAAAATAATTCTACTTTACCTATAATACCATTAATCCTTTATTATATTCATTTTACTTTTTCTCTCTGTAATGATTACTTTGAGATAATTTTGACAAAAGTGCAATTAATTCTACCATGAGCTTTAGAAGTGACAAAAAAAGGAACAATTTTTTTTAAGAAAGTGACATTTAAAAAGAAATCAAAGGAGTATTAATTAGGGCTTTCTAGATTTTAAAGAATACCAACAAAACCCTTTTGTGATTCTTTTATGATTAAATTGAATTCAAATAATAAAGTTATATATATATATATATATATATATATATATATATATATATATATATATATATATATATATATATATATATATATATATATATATATATATATATATATATATATATATATATATATATATATATATATATATATATATATATTAAAACAAAAAAAAAATAATTTTGATTATTGATTTATTTCTAAAGTAAAATGAATTAAACTAAATAAAAGTTCGGCGTGAAAATGCTCGACAAAATAAAATGAATTTGCTAAAATGACCAGCGTGAAATATGCTTCTCGGAAAGATACATATTTTGATCAATTTTAAAAATAAAAAAGTACAGGTTAAAGAGCCTTAGGCAGATCAAAGTGCGACTGGGAAAGTAGTTGAAAAAATAAAATAAGCATATCAGGTTAAACTATGTGAACCGTAAATTATTAGTATTAACGTCTGCAAGCTCGATTTTGAAACTTTTTACTCGTTGATTTTATGTGTATTTGAAAAATGATTCAACTAGTCTGTTTGTAGGTCCGAAAATTTATTCTGGCCAGTATTTTAGGCATTATGCGTGATCAAATACATGTTATGCTATGCAGATGATACAAAGTAAAGTCTAAT